CGTGGACCCACCTGAGAGCAGGATGTTGCCATAAAGATTCCTGCGCACATCAATGTCACACTTCATGATGCTGTTGAAGATCATTTTGTGCACACCAGGAGCTTCAACTCCAATGTTTGCAGGCAGAAAAAGGATCTCTGGTGCATGAAAGAGCTGGTTGCCTAGCTGGATGATATTGTCATCAGGCAATTTGTATTCTTTCATGATTTCTTCTGGCTTTGCTTTCATTTCTTGGACAGGGTCTAAAGCTACATAGCACAACTTCTCTTTGATATCTATCACAATTTCTCTTTCAGCTGTGCTGACAAAAGTGTGTCCAGTTTCCAACAGAAGCTTCATAAAATATTCAGTGATATCCTGGCCAGCAATATCCAGCCTGGAGACAGCATGAGGTAAACTGTATCCTTCATATATGGGGACAGTGTGGGTAACACCATCCCCGCTGTTCATGACTATTCCAGTAATACGGGCCGATGCATAGAGTGCCAGAGTTGCCTGGACTGCAATATACATAGCTGGCACCATGAAACCTTCAAACATGATCTCTGTCATTTTTTCCTGGTTCTGCAGAGGATTGAGGGGGGCTTCAGTCAGCAGCACTGGCCTTTCACTGGCTTTGATTCTCAGCTCATACTCATAGACATGTGTCCAGATCCTTTCCATATCATCCCAGCATGTAACTATGCCATGGTCAACTGGATAATTCAAAGACAGAATCCCTCTTTTGGACTGAGCTTCCTCTCCAATGTAACATTCTTTCTGTCCAGCTCCCAGCATTCTAGCTTTGACTTTTGAGCGACCAACGATTGCTGTGAAAACAGACCTTGGGCTGCTGTCACCTGTGATACCTGCTTTGAATAATCCAAACCCATTGTCAAAGATTACAGCTGGGACATCCAAAACATTGGGGTTAAACATTCTTCACAGAGTTGATGTCTCCCCAGCACTGTTTCCCGTTCCCCTTTTACAGGCTGGTCACCATTTCTAGGGAAGTCTTCTCGGGGATGTATAGCTTGCTGTTTACAACATGTCTGCCCCCAGCTACCTCACAATGGCCAGTGATACAATAATGCATTTTCCCAGCAAGTTACCTGATCCGAGGCACTTCCCTGGGTATGGCCAGTGTAGCTTCTCTGTGACTCCAGCCAGGAGTCATGATGACTTTCATCATTGATGACTATCAATTCACTGAGTCTGATTCACAGGTCATGGACCATGAATGTATTCCTGTAATGAGCCTAAGAGCATGTTTGTCCTCAGAATAGAAAAGCATGTATTGCAAAACACATGGATGACAATAATTAAATTTTTCACATGTGCTTCTGGCTTAGCTAAGACTCTAGAAATATTTCCAAGAGTTTGTGAAAATTAGGACAATTTTGCCTCCCTGAAGTATTAACTGAATTACCAGTTTGCCTTTCTGATTAACATCTGCATTGGAAGCAGACCTTTTTCACCTGAATCCTTTCTGATCCTTTATAAGAAACTCCTAAAAATATTTTTAAATAGGTAGAACTATGTTTGGCACTGATGATGGTATTCTGGAGTATTTTCTTCCTTTCCTTGTTACTTAAAGACTTTTTTTTTTTGTAAAATCACAAAAGTGAAATAATAATTTCTGCATCTTGCTGGTTTAAAAAACCCTGACAGCTTTAAATAATGCTTATAATACCTTTTAGTGTAAAGAAATTCCTTCCCCTAATGAATCTATATCCTAGGCTGCTGACAAGTTGACCTGCCTGCAAATAAACAGACATGCAGATGTCTTTCTTCCATGCTTCCTTTTTCCGTTCAGTACTTTGCTGAGAAGAACAAACTCTTTTTTGGAAGTTTGTTCAGAAGGATTAGAAATATCCTAGATCTTCATAACTGATCCCTATTTCAGGGGGAACCCCATTTGTGGCCTTTTTTTTTTTTTTTTTAATTTTACTTCGAGAAGATTTCCCAAAGAAGGTAATTTCTATAGTTTTGACTCCAATTAGATCAACAATCCAAACCTGTTTACATAGAGAATTTTGTTTTAAAAAAAAAATAAAAAAAAATCACTGTGTAACTTCAGTTTGAATCCTTGGCTGACAGACTTTAATTGCTTCTCATTGCAGCTCTAAATCCACGGCAACTTCAAAGCAAGGGTGGATTTTATTAAATTTAATTACTTTTTCCTGCAGCTTGCACAGCAAAGGTGCTAGCTACTACATGAAGGTGGTTATGAATTAGAGGCTATTACCATTCTGCTTAGATTCCATATGTGTTTGTGTTAAATGCCACTCTATCCATTTTAGCAATTTCTCTAATCCTCTTAATATTTGTGTACATATATTTCAGTGTGTGGCACGCTTGTTTTCATGCGCGCCTCTATATTAATGTCAACAGGTGTCCTAATCGTTTAAGAGGTTGTTATATGCACTACACTATAAGCCCCATTTAACCCTGCATGGTCTGCACGCAGCTTACAGCAAAGCATTCTGTTTTGAACATGATGTCGAATATTAAAACAAGGGAATATTGACTGTGATTATTAGAAGGCAATTGAATATAGACGCAGGAATCCTCATCTGTTCCCTCATAGTGTCATAATCCCCTGTCATAAATCACCTTAAAAAGGGCATGTGTGAATTAACTTTGTTACTATAGGGTTTGTAATAAGTGAAATTACTGTTTGTGTTTAACTGAAGTATTGTAAATTGAACTCATATAAGAGACAACATAAGACATCCAAAATTTCTTGTACTCACCTGGCACTATAGCTTACACTGATATGACAAGATCTCAATCAGGAATGGAAAGGTAGCTCATTTTCTGAGACCCAGTCTGTCTTTGGCCTTTGACATTTGCCAGAGGCTGCCAGCTGTGGTGAGACACATGAGGAACCGGACTGAGATGAGCAAATCCATTCCACATGAGCTGCTAATGTCTTGACTAGATGGTATCGACAGTTTGTCACCTCTTAATGGGATGGAATATGAACTCGAAGCCGAGAGGCACATTGGAAATACAGTGGTAGTGTAATTCCCACAACATACCAAACATAAATGAACTGTATCCCACAGACATTGGATTGTAAAAATTCGTAGATAGTTAAACATGTTGTTTATAGGCCAGTCTTACTTGTTTTATATGTCAGTGCTGAGCACACATTTTCACTTACCAGCTTACACATGTCTTTTTGCTTTACTGACCATGTTGCCTGCACAGAATTGATCCCCCTGGGCAAGCCAGGGCTTGTCCTTTCTCCATAGCCGTCCTCCGTCCAAATACTTTTGGAGACAAACATGTAACTCAGGGCAGATTCTGAGTGAATCAGGCCAGACTGGGAAGCACTGATGAGCTTTGGAAGGTCTGAATTTACCTGGGTTAAAACCAGAGGGAAAAGGATCAGCTAACTCTTAGTCTGTTTGCCCACGTAAACCCCAAGGTCCTGACTAATGCAGTAGAGATAACTGTCTTTCCTATCTAGAAAGTGTTACCAAAAAGAGAGACAAGTAGGACCAGAGACTGAGGGATAGATGTTTCTCTCCATGCCTTTCTACATCAGATTATTTTGATATCTTTTCTGTTCTTCCTTTGCATTTATGTGAATCTTGTCATCCTCAGCTGACTGTTTTCTGGACGTAACCTCATTCCAAACAGGCACAGTACGGAGCGGCAGGTGAGGCGATCTGATTATCATACACCAAATACAGGTGAAACCCCAGAAATAATCGTGCCTCATCAGAGAATCTCTTAATGAAGTCCATGCAATCATGATCTTTTCTGTTTCACAGAAATTGCAATGAATTTGTTCATTCCCCAAACTCATTCCACTCTGAGTCTTTCTCAGTTTCCTACAGGCAACTGATTTTGCCAGCTAACACAATTATTAGGAAATCTCAGACATATTCCTTATCTCAGGATAAGGAAGACCTGCCTTATCCTTCATAAACTTGACAGGGACTTGATGAATTAGCAGTAATTTCTCCATAAAATAATTTAGCTTTCTTAGTCAAGATATATCTGCCACTGTATCGGGGGACATCTCTCCTCCATCTTTGTTTACATTCGCCCTTAAAATGCTGATTATCTTCTTGGCTTACAGTTTCCTCATTGCCTTCTTTGGATGGGGAGGACAGATGTTGGGCTGTTGGCTAAGAATTTTGCGACAGTGGCTCTGTCAACAGGATGACCAATGCAGCTTTCCAAGTAGATTTTAGCTGGAACTTTTGATTGCTGTGAAGCCATGCATTAAATAAGGTGAAAATAAGAAAAAATAAGAGGCTGGCACGTGGTGGACATAAGTGTCAAGGCAGATAGTTATGCAAACAGAAGTATACTACCACCTTTTTATGTACAGTAGTAATTTAACACTTTCTGGGATATCCCAGAAACAAACTAGAGGACTTATTAAAGTGCTAAAGCTTAAGTATTTGAAGTCTGTACTTTAACAGCTGAAAGATCACAGTTACAAAACCATCTCCCTGCAGCATGCATATGATTTGTGTAACAAACAGAAGGGCATTTATGGAATGAATCCAAATGCATCAAAAATAAATATTACAAGAGAAAAAGTGAGGAAATGAAGGTATTTCAACCCAGTGGAAGTTTGAATGAGGAGGAACAAAAATCTTCTGTTCAGGATACTACCACTGAAACTGTCTGTGGGGAAGACAGAATGGAGGCTGCTCACCCTTCTCCATGCCTTAAAAACCTGGAGTGGTGGTTCACAGTGCAGGGAAGAATCAAGCTCATCAAATGCTGTGGCAATGACAAACACCTTTACCGAGTCAGCCTGTCACCACACGAGGGCAACACTTACTCTGTGCCACAAGTCATTCTGGCACAGGTACAAACTGGATTTATTATTTATAGTGCCTGGAAATCAATCAGGCTTTCCTGGGGACTGTAGAAACAAACAGCAAAGGGCAGACCCTGCTCAAAAGAATTCAATCTGAGACGTAACAGGTAGGTGAGACAAACAAGCAGGTCAGGGCAGAAGGCAAGGGAGACAGTGTGAAAGAAATCAGGAGCTGAGAGCAGTTCTTAGCCAGTAAGAAGCAATAATCGCCATCACAGATGCTTAGCTCTAACAACTTGATGAGATCCCTTTCTTCACATAGGACCTCTGTTTGATTGCTCCCATACTTGTTTCCATCTAAAATTTCCATTTTGCAATGTCTTCATGACACTCCAAACATCTACAAAGCTCTTTGAAGTTGAATTTTAATGTGTTTATTGACACCAGTTATGATATTTCAAAACATATGGGCTACAAATTGTTACCATGCACTCCTAGTAATCCCATTATTAAAACAAACTCAGCCTCTCCTGATGATTTTATATCTTCTTGCTGACTAACTTTTGCCTGTGTTTATTTAAACTTTTGTTGAGGGTTTTTTTAATATTCAACACTTCTGAAACGTAAAACTATCTGCAGATTTCATATACTTCTGAAACATTTTGCATTCATTTTTATGGGTACCACATGGCCCAAACCCTCCTTTTCAATTTTCCTTGCAGATCTGTGGCTTGTAATATGGGCTTCCCATACACAAGCCCAGCAGTTAACACTGCATGTGCAGCTGGCCTTGGTGTTAGGAGGACTGCTGCCAAGGTCCGAGCCCAGCCATGGGTGGCTCCAGAAGCTCAGCCCTGATGCAGCAGCTCCAGTATTGCCGAGTGAGAGGTTTTGTGCGTGTGACAGTGTGTTCTTGTGTGTTTTTCTGAGTGAATGTGTCAGCAATGTTTGGGTATATCTGTGGTGTGTGTATCAGTGTGCATGAGCAAGAGTGTTCATGCATGTGATGATTGCTGGAGAGTTGTTACGCGGGAGTGTGTGAGTGTGTGTAAGGCTCAGTGCTGGGTCCTGCATTTGGGTCACAACAACCCCAGGCAACGCTACAGGCTTGGGGAAGAGTGGCTGGAAAGCTGCCTGGAGGAAAAGG